TCTCTTTCTCATTCCTTTGTGGAGCTCTCTCATTCACTCACAGCCTTTTCTCTCTCTCTCTCTCTTTTTTTGGATAACAACAAGTTTTTTTTTTTTTTTTTTGGAAGCGGTGAGTTGTGGTGGCGCGCGTTGCATTGGGATGAAATGGCAGCCGGGGATGGGCGAGGGCGATTCCATCTTTGGTAGACTGGCTTGGGGAAAAGTGGCTTACTGTTGAGGTTGGAAGATGGGAGTGGCGAAAGTGGCTGCGATACCGCTTTTGTTATCACCGTTGTCTTGCTTGCTTATGTCCTGTGAGATTGGCATTCAGTGACTTTGTGCGTGGCCGGTTAGGGTTTCGCGTCGACATTTCTGGCTGCACCGGGTCTTTTCCGTCCGTCTAGCCAACGCGCGTGCACGCAGACGAGCGCACATAGGTGCCTACGCCAGTGAACCCCCTGGTTTACACACCCATCACCAGTATGTTGTGCACCACACGCCAACCAGTGCTGGGCCACGTCAACTACCCTGGGGTCGCATCCTACGAGTCGCGAACCCCTGTTCCATGTCCGGGTCCCCTCGCTGCTTCTGCCCTGGCAGTGGCCCTCATGAAGTGACGGCCTTTTTTTGTTTGTTTTCTTGTTTTTCATCTGCAGGCACCATGTCTGAAGAAGACGGTCGCGTCATCAAGCAGGAGGAGGATTACACGAAAGAAGTGGATGAAGCCCTCCCCAAGGCCTCGGCCCTCGCCGACGTTAGTCATGCCCTCGGCCGCGCCAACACATCATGCCTCTTCAGATGCGCTCCGACTTCAACGACTGGACAAGACCATTGCCCCGCTTACAAAAGTGTTTTCTCACTCGACTTTTGCCACTCTTCCCATCACTAGAATGGCCAGCTCCACGAGGCCATCGAGTCACTGATGCCGCTCGAGAAAAAATCCCGCATCGTAAGCCCATCACCCACGCAGCGCTCTCCTGCTGCGTCAGCTACCGCCGCCACTGGCTGTAGTGGCGACCGACTCACCGACGTGCTTGGCCCGACGCCTCGCGTGAAATAGGCCGCTGACATGAAATCCACTAGTCGTCTTTTGGTTCACATCATGGACATGTGCTATCAACACAAGGACTGGGCCGCCATGGGCGAGCAAATTATCGTTCTCATGAAGCGCCGCGGACAGCTCAAAAAGGTGCGTTGTCCTGCATTGGCCCGCATTGGAGAGGTCCTCTCTGTCCACATGTCGTTTGCTCACTAAAGGTGCTCGTCTCGTCAATGCTTTTTGCTCCTGCGTGGATGTCCCGCAGGCCGTGTCAGACATGGTGACCAAGGCATGTGAATACCTGGAGCAGATCCCTGACGAAGCAACCACCCTCAAGCTCATTGACACCATTCGTACGGCGACCACCGGCAAGGTATGTCAAATTTGTCGCTATGGGTCAGGCTTTGGGTCCTGCCGCTTTCCTCTTTTCTGGCTCCAGACGAGCGCCGTCTCACCACGACCAACCTGTTCAGATCCACGTCGAGATGCAACGCGCTCGCCTGACGCTCAAGTTGGCGCATATCAAGGAGGCCAAGGGCGAGATTGAAGGTTTGTGCCCGTGCCCACTTGACGCTCTGCCCGTGACACGCGAGCGCCTCTGATTGACGTGCCCCGTGTTGCAGAGGCGGCCGATGTGCTGCAAGAGCTGCAAGTGGAAACATACGGCTCCATGGAGAAGCGGGAGAAGGTTGAGTTTATCCTGGAACAGATGCGCCTCTGCCTGGCCAAGAAGGATTGGGTGCGCGCCGGCATCATTGCCAAAAAGATTGGTACCAAGTTCTTCGAAGCCGAGGACACGGACGACCTCAAGCTCAAGTACTACCGTCAAATGATTGCCATTGCCCAACACGAGGAGAGGTTGGTTGCAGACTGCCGCCCTTCACGCCCAATCCAATGGAAGAAGGCAATCCTGTGTTCATTTTTTGAGCAAGTGCTTGTCAAACACTTTGGCGCACGGTTGACTTGCTCACGCGTGCTTACGGGACTTGCATAGGTATCTCGACATGTGCCGCTACTATCGCGAGGTGTTTGACACCAAGACAGTGCAAGACAATGAAACCCGTGCGTCCGGGCCGTGCCCCCACTTGTGCTCAGCTTGTTGCACCCCCTTTTTTGCCGTTGACCCCCGTCGACCCACATCCCCATCGCCCACTCATTTTCGTTTGCTTTTGTAGAGTGGACCGAGGCACTACAACGGGCCATTGTGTTTCTCATCCTGGCCCCCTTTGACCACGAGCAGTCAGACCTCTTGCCGCGCGTGATGGCGGTGCGTCCAACGATGGGTTCTGGACCTGCCTCGACGTGTCAAAAATGTCTTTGGATCAGCTCATGCCTTGTTGTCCACCGTTTCCCAGGAGCCCAAGTTGGAGCAGCTGCCGACTTACCGTGCCTTGTTGGACCACATCACGTCCAAGGAATTGGTACCTTGGCGCGTGTTTGAGGGTTCTCATGGTGACGTGCTCAAGAGCACCGGTCTCTTTGAGGGCGACGCGGGTGCAAATCTCTGGAAGACGCTTCAGACACGCGTTGTCGAACACGTACGTTTTGCCCGCTCGAGCTTTTATTCAAAACAATGGCACGCGTGTGTGTGGCTCTGACTCAACGAGCTGCGGGCTCTGCTGTTCTTTTTGTGTCTTGTTCTTCATTCATTTTTTGATCTTTTATCTTGTTAGAACATCCGCATTGTGGCTGGTTACTATGAGCGTATCTCGACGCAGCGTCTTGCAGAACTCCTTGAGCTGGATGAACTGGTGCGTATCATGTTGGGGACGAGTTGTCTGAGCCGCTTGTTTTGCTGTTACGTGGCAGGAGGGACCTGGCTTGCCTCCTTGCGTTGCCATGATTTGGAGCACACCAGTCTGACTCATCTTTGCGGTCTGGGGGGCTTATGGACGATGAATAGGCGGCGGAGCGCCACCTGTCGGAGCTTGTCTCCAATGGCACAGTCACGGCCAAGATTGATCGGCCGGCCAAGGTCATTGTTTTCCAGCTGAAGAAAAAGCCCATTGCCGTTCTCAACGACTGGAACAACGATATCAAGTGCGTGCAGACTTTTTATAGACTGATGGGCCATTCCCGGGGCGGCTTGTCCTCTCTCCCTCCCACTCGACATTTCAACTGCATTTCCCATGGCCAGAAGTCCTCACCACCTGTTGGCTGCCCCATTCGCATTTTCACAGGACACTCATGAATTTGGTGGACAAGGCGACACACCTGATGAACCGGGAGCGCATGGTCCACAAAGCCGAGTAAGAAGAAAGATCAAGGCATTGATCGTCGTGACGTGGACGAACAACCATCTCAGTCGTCCACGGTGTCTGAACGTGTGCCCTCCTCTTTCTCCATCTCTGTCTCTGTCTCTCTCTCCTCTGTCCTTTTACCGCTTGAGCGGCTTGTGAAGCAGTTTGGCCGTGAACGGCACGAATTGCAGCCAACGAAACCAGTCAACGTGTTTTGTCAGAAAACCAAGCGTCAGACAGACACACACACACATCGCACGTCTGTCAGTGTCAACCCGACCCTCTCAAACCTTTGGGATGCTACAAGGTTCCTCTTTCAATTTCCACATTGCATACCAAATCTCTTCCGCACCCTTGACTTTCCACAGGATAGAATCATCTGACAACTTATCCTCTCTTCATCCCAATCCCCATTCCACCCTTTTCTCTCAAAACTCTCATTCAATTCTTCCCTCTCTCTGAGCCAACTGAGAGAGAGAGTCAGAGTGATGGCGTTGTTGGCAGGTGAGTGCAAATGGCAGCGCCGGTGTGACGGATGGATGGCACTTGAATCGTTGTAGTGCCCCGATGTGTGGTCGTGCACATGATGGCTTGACGTGGACACGAAGCAAAGCTTTGACTTCCTTGCCTCCACATGCATGGACACACACCTTTCTTCCATTCCTTTGCACCTGTCCACCCGCTTCCTGCGCCCTGACGGTTTTTTTAACGGTCACACGCTTACACGCACGCACACACGAGCACGCGCGCGCTCGGACGTGTATGAGGCACTGCTGGCCAGTGACTGGTGTTGTGTGGGGCGTGAGGCCGGTCGTGTCACTGGCTCGACTGTGGGAGAGCCCGGGCGGGGTGACTTGTTCCACCGCTTGCTTATGATGATGATTCTATTCCCGCTGTACACACTACAACACACACCACATGCACACACGGAGTCACGTTTACAACTGCATGCGGATTGAAGCGCCGACCGCTTGCTTGTGCTCATCTCCATCCCATTTCTTGCAACCTGGACCACTTAAATCCACCCATGAATGCAGAGGTTCGCTCCTTGTGGGAGGTACCGGCCATTGCCTACATCTGCCAGGTGGTGCGTCTGGCCCTGGGCGAAAACAAGCCGAGCTCCTCCCGGACACTGCCCGACTTTACCATCGACCAGCTTGAAGAGGCCTTTATCAGTGATGACACGAGCCCACTCTTGATCAAGCTCCACCAAGCGCTCCTCCGTGGCCTCGTGGGCCCAGATACAGACGTGACGTCAGTTCCACCCATTCGACAACCCAAACGGCCCTCATTGTCCGTCTCACCCTCCCTCTTCTCCCGCCTCCCCCCTTGCCCCTCATCTCATAAACAGAGATGGCAACTGGGAAGCAATATTGCGCGATGAAATTGCAAATTATGCCCCAGAGGAGACTAATCCTCTTCTCGGTGCCACGTACCGGTACGATCTTTGGTCCTGTCCAATCCCCAATGCCTAGTGCACGAGCATTGCACGCACGCATGCACACACTCAACGTGCCTCTGCATCCTATGCTATCGGAGTACACAGAGACATGACCACGCGCACCAAGGTCATGCTGCTCAAGGAGCTCATCGAGTGGCGGATGCTTCACGGCCCAGATACCCGCCAAGGCGTGGACAAGGCTATTCAGGTGCCTCTTGCGCGTGTCACGGCGCCCGCTCCGACCACCCGGCTTGTTCACCGCCTCTCCCTCCTTTGGCCCTGGGTTTTTTGTTGCTGTTGTTTGTTTGTTTGTTTGTTTGTTTGTTTGTTTGTTTTCTATTAGGATTGTGGAACAGATAACCTCCGATTGACAAGTCTGGGCAAGGACAACGAAGGCTACGAATATTACTACTTTGTCGGAACCCGCCTCTACCGCGAACAGCCTCTCCGTGATGAAGTGCAGCTCGACCGCAAGAGCCCGCGCCGCCGCTCTCGTACCAAGCGCCCTAGCAAAACTCAAAAAGCACAAGGCCCTCCACCTCCAGCGACGGCTGCTGAGGGTGGCAACGCCCTACCCGTCTTGTTTGAGGGTGACTATGCGTGCGTTGATAAACCGCCCTTTGCACCACTGCTTGTCCTGATTATCGACCCATCCTGTCTCAAACTCAGCCTCCTCTCCCCACGCTCTGGTGGATTAGGCGCCCACCGTGGGAAGTCATCTGCCTCACGGCTGAGGACTGGGAGCAGCTCATTGCCACCCTTTGCAAGACAGCCAAAAAGGTCGGTGCGCCCATCTCTCGCCCCTGTTTGGCTGCGACGCAGGCCCTCGCTCACATTCTCGGCCACGGCTGGGGTGCGTTTGCAGAGTCAGAGTTTCGCATTAGGCGAGTTCATCAAAGAGGAATTTCTCGAAGATATTCAACAGCTCCAAGCCTCTGAGGTGAGCCAGCAGCTCGTCGCCGTTTTCTCAAGCCAGTGTCGCCCTGAAGATTGACTCGTCGCGACACCTGCTCATCCACTTGGGCGTCAACTGAAATGGTCGCAGACTCGGCGTCGCAAGCGCTTGGAAACCATCATGGCCGCCAAGATGGCTCCAACTCGTCGGTCAGCCCGCCAAGAGGCCCTGCACGTCATGGAGGAGCAGCGACGGGAGGAGGTACGGCGCTGTACCCACACCCAATGCCTTCCAGCTGCTGCGCCCGATGAATCATCCTCGTCACTTGCCAATGCCTGTGTAGGAGCAACTTCGCAAGGAGCAACTGCGTCAAGAGAAGCTCGAGCGCATTCGCGAGCAGCAGATCAAAGCTGAGGAAGCGCGGCAACAGGCCAAGTACGATGGGGGGCGCTTGTGTAGGTGGAATGACCGTATTGGACGCTCACCTCTTGCCCGGTCTTTGGCGGCATAGGATGGCGCGGTTATCGGAGCGCGTAGCCGAACGACAGGCCCTCATTGAGTCTGGTCGTGCCTCGGGCCTCATCGAGCCGACAGCCGTGCCCTACGACCTGTCCAATGTGGATGACTGGCGCAAGGACGTTCAAGGCATCATGGAGCGCCTGCAGGCACACCGCGATGCATGGCCGTTCTCTCAACCGGTGGATGCGGCAGAGGTGCCATATTACAATGAGGTGGTGCGCTACCCCATGGACCTGACCAACATTGCTGAACAACTGGAAGCCGATGTCATCCCCAACGTGGATGAGTTTGCCGCCGAGGTCTTCTTGATGCTAGACAACTGCAAAATTTTCAACGATGCCGAGACGGTGTTCCACAAGTCTGCCGATGTCTTGCAGGTTGGCTGCTTGTCCCTGAATCCCTCATCGATCAATGGCTTGACTTCCTTTGATCCCATTGAGCCGTCAGCTTGCGACGTTGGTTGTTGACTTTGTGTGGGTGTGGACAATGCTAGACATATTTCCTCAAGCGCATGACCCGCACTTTTCCGGGCTGGGACTCGACCTATGCCAAGGGCCTTGCAGCAACGCAAGCCGCCTCGTGGGATGAATACAACAAGAACATGGCAGCAGAGGTATGATTTGCCGACAGTCCTAGCACGACGCCAACAGCATCCTTGATCGACCTCATGCCTGCCCCCCTATCCCTGCTCTGCATCTTGCAGGAAGAGGAGCGAGAGCGTAAGAAACAGGCTCGGGCAGAACGCAAGGCGGCCAAACAGGCTGCCAAGGAGGCTGCTGAAGCTGAAGAGCGCCGGCGTGCACAGGAGGAGCAACAGCAACGCGAAGCCCAGGCGGCCGCCGAGGAGCGCCGGAAACAGATTGCGGCCCTGCAGGCTCAACTACAGCAGGATCGCGCACAGCAAGCCGCTGGATGGCAGGCTCAAACTCAGACGCCCGTGCAGACCATAATGCGGCCCGCAGCCTCTCACACGCAGGCGGGCAACCCCGTTTCCGTTGCTCAGCCGGCCGCCAACGGTGCTCCGCCCGCCAAGCGCGAAGCCTTGTCCCGCCCTGCGGTGCGCCACCACATTCCCTGCATTCCCTGCACGCCCTGCCTCCAGCCACTTTCAGCTTTTGAAGCTTGCTTGCACACTCATACGCGCGCTGCGTTATGCCGCCGACGTTGCAGATTCCCCAGACTAGCGCGGTGGCCAATCACGTCAACGGTGGTTCCCAGATTCCAACAGCCGGCATGCATTTGAACCAAGCCCCAGTCCAGTCGCTGCAGCAGCAACAGTATCAACGACAGCAGCAGCAATTTCAGCAGCTGCACGAGCAACAGCAACGCCTGGCCACCCTGGCTCAGACTGCGCAAGCCGCACCCTCACTGACGCACCCGACCATTGCCACTGCTGGTCTGTCGACACCATTGTCTGGCACATCTGCTGTGGTCAATAATGCCCCCCACCCCCAACCACAGCAACAGAAAACCTCAGCACCGCTCCCGCCACCAGGGCAACCGACCACAGTCCCTCCCTCCCTGCCACAAGCCACGACTAATGGCAACTCAGGGCAAGCCCCTTCTACGTCATTGCCCAGCCATGCCACAGCAACAAATTAGTGTGTCTGGCAAAGCGTTTGCGCAGTTCGAGTCAGACCGTGTGCGCGCTATAGGAGAATTGTGCGCACGCCTAGTTTTTGTTTGGTTTTTGTTTTTGGAGGTTGATGATTCACATGAAATTGACCATTTACGCGTCCGAAGCGGTTGCCTCCTTATCGTCTCGGGCTCGATTGAGGGATCCTGACGACAGCAAGAATGGGTTGCACCAAATACAGTGAAGACCTGCAAGGTACCATTACGCGATTTGCTTTGGCATGTGCATTGTGGTAAGAAATTCTTGAGCGTCCTTGATCTGGCCGTTCTTTTGATCATCAGTCCAGCCCAGCTCCTATGAGAGAACAGACACGCACATACAATTGCCGCAACTCAACGTCAGTTTGATCGAGCTGACAGAACTTGATGCCGCCCAAAAACACACGAGCATGACAAGTAAGCCACACCTTCGACATGATGTCAGCCACACGGTCGATGGCGGCCACGCAAGCGTCGTGGTCCAAAAACGCCAGCCGTGTGCGGCGGGCCACAACATCCTATGCAAATCATTGGTCCGACATGCCGGGATGTGAGGTATGAGCACATGTAAGCCGCGGTGCATGATGGTGCGTGGCAAAAGGGCCGATGGCGAACCGTGACCGTGCGCGCTTGCTCGTGTCGTGTGGCGTAAGTGACGTCATTGTCCGTGTAAGGGAAGCTCGGAGTTAGGCGACTGCAGCACAAAAACAGGTTTGCTGGGTGAGAAGACCCATCATTTGTCCAAGATACGATGCGGGATGACCCATCATTTATACCTTGTCGCAGACTCTGGCGCGCACTCAATGACATGATAAGCTCGATCGCCGTAGCGATGGGCCAAATGCGAAGCAATCTACAAGCGCAGACGCAGTTGTTATACACAAAACAGACTTGAGCCTTGGCAGCATAGGGGGGGGGGGGGGGAGGAAGGGAGGGCCATTCGAGGCTGGAGGCCATACGTCTTGCGGCAAATGAAACTTTTGCATCAGAACAATGGGCAGAGAGGGCGCGTAGCCATCTCCACCGTAAAGCATCTAATAGTGTTTTGAAAGAGGGTCATGTTTGATCAAGTGAGTAAAAAGGACCATGCATTGTTGTGCTGTTAAGAGATGCCACGTTGCCTCGCTGCCTTGACTGCATACATGGACTTGCACGCGAAGCCCCATGGTCACATACCGTGTTGCAGGTACTGCTGGGCTTGGGGGCCACAACGTGCTTGTGCGCTTTGAGTGTTTCGTCCATGGTATCCTCGGCCATTTGGCGGTATGTGGTCCACTTGCCACCAGCAATCGTCACCAGGCCAGAAGGAGCAATATCTACAAAATGAGTGCGGGGAATGTCCTTTGTGCCCTTGGCGCGCGGGTTGCTGCACCAATGCCAAACAGACACCCCGCGTATGAAATTCAAACATGGCCGCATGATGAGCCGACCGACAGCTCGAAAATCGAGCAAAAAGTCGTTGGTTTGGCTGTCTCACCGAACAAGTGGGCGAATGCCGGTCCAGGCTGCGAGCACATCCTCATCACCGAGCTGAGCGAGCCACCAACAGTTCCCGGCAATAAAACCGCCGTAATAGTGAGTGGGCAGATCCGGCTTGAAAGTGTGTGTGTGTGCGCGCGCGCGCATTTGTGCGTGTATGCGTGTGTGTAGATGGTGAATGTACAAAGCGCTTTGAAGAATTAGCGAGCAATGACCTTGATATCGGGCGAAAGTTGAGACCGCAATTCACGCAGAACAAAGTCGACATCGGGCTAAGTTATTGCGCGGCACAGCAGGTAAAACCACACAAATCGGCACTGTGAAACTCACAAGCAGCTGAATCACAGCAGGGTTTGTGCAGAAGCCCGACACGCTTTGCCAGGCAGCACTTAAGCACTCAAAGCTTGGGAAAGGAAGATTTCAAAAAAAGCTTCCAGGGGTCAGGCTGAGGCGAACACACCTGGTTGGGAGAGGGACGATCAGTGACGGACACGGCACTGTCGGTGGTACCCGCCACAACGCGACCCTGCCAAGGAAGGAAGAAAAGCACACGACCATCGCTGGTACTGGC